TGCCTTTTTAAAAATACACATTATTAGATTACATTTAAAGGCATGGTCTCAATTGATTTCCCGAGTCACAAGATGGGTTAGAGACAATAACATGATATACATGATTTTATTGCTATATTTAAGATATGGGCGTCATTTTTTAATTTTATATTTATTGATATTTTACTTTGCCACTCAGTGATATTTTAAATGACATTGAAATATTTTATGACCAGAGAATGTAGGATTGCCACTATGGTAACCAATGTAGGGCAACTAGATACTGAGTTACATGTAACATATATATGACGAGCATCTTGAACACTATTTCACTTACTATTGATCAAATTATTTACATTTAGGATGGTCTCATTGATTCACTAAGCCATTAGGTTCATTCATTTATTCATTCTTTATTTAGCCTTATAAAAATCACATTACAATTTGCACATACAGTAAAATAAAACTTTAAAAAATTACAATACAGAATAAAACTGAAAATCTAAGGAGGCAAGGATTAACAAAAGGAATTAAATCACTGTAGCTCACAAGAAGCTAGTTAATCCATCCTTAGAGAAACAGCAATTTAAAATTGAAGATATGATATATAATACCGTAATAATTTATAATACTTAGAAAGTAAAACAGAAGAAATTAAAAATGAGACTTAATCATTATTGCAAAACGAAAAAAATTAAAAAGGTTATAGACAGAAACTGCCAATCCAAGACGAAAAGTACATAATTTATGATTATTTTCAGTGTATATGGGCGGCAATTTTGGATTTTGGCTGTTATCATGATTACGAATATCATGAAATTTGTTATCTAACTTTTTTCCTTACTTTATACCATAATGAAGTGAAAGCGGGCGCTAGCTCAATTAGGACATTCATGTCCAGCGGGAAGCCATACTAATATCGTTATCAATATTTTACATCAACACTCTAAATGCTACAAAGTGAAAAACAACGAGTGAAAGAGTGGTTACATTGCATTTTTTGAAATAAAAATGTATAACAAAGAGAGACATGAATTTCCACTCTTTTTAAAGATCATATTCTACACTTTCACTATCTGTAAATACAAATTAATCGGGTTTTTTTTCTATATTTCTTTTTAAAGAGTGAAATTTCTTTCGGAATAGATTAAGATAGACCTTTCAGAAATATCAATCAAACTGTCCATCCAGAAGTGTTTGTATAACATACATGTTTTCCAATAAACGCACGTGTTTGTTTAAACTCTGTTGTAGAGAAAATTTTATTTCTTTCTCATTCAACAGCTCGCCAGTTACCGGATGGAACGATGCTTTATAATCCAAATTTCTTTATGATGCTTAAAGAGTGGAGTTGATTTTAGTAGTCAGAGAAAGTTCTGCTGCCATAGGAATTGAACGCAGGACCATGGAATTAGAAGTTTTACAACTCCACTCTCCGTCATTAGTATCGTATGTATAATTATGACTTTCTTGTGTAAGGGATTGTCAAATAAGAAATATCGCTATTGACAATCTTGTGCATTTTAGCACACTTAATTGCAACGCGCATCAAAAGAAAAGTGTAGAATAATAACTTAATATGGCATATATTCCACAAGCTTTCATCACTGCAGTACATTCATCAGATAATTTGTAGTATGAAGGCATGTGGAAAAAATATTTGTTATTAGTCTTATAAGTGGTGTTCAAGTAATGACAGTTTAACGTACTGTATAAATTCTTGCATATTAAGGTCTGACCATAAGATTTATACATTGTTTTCAACATCTTTTACAAAAAGTTGAACAATCAACATTTTACTACATACAATATAGCATTAAATCTTATCTCGTCTCAAGGAATATAAATCAATACAAGTGTGACTTGTGTGGAAGAGATTGAATTATACCCAAATTTTAGCTTTCATATCAATTTGTTTGGTATATTTGGTATACGTTACCGCAAACGCGCTGCCATGAAAATCACTTAACTATTATGGGTTTATCCCATGTGCCTATTAAAAAATTTATATTATTGCAGAATCTCTTTTGAGATCCAGTGGGCCGCCATTGATGCACGATAGAGATTGTATCTTTAGATCTCCGATCTTGTCTACGAACCGCCGACTAGTGCTGTCTGGTAGAGTTTCGTAGGACGCGTTAAGAATGACAAAATATTTTCTGTATCTACTGGAACCGAGCCTTCCGTCTCATAACATTCCACAATCAAGTAGGCGCATAGCTCGTGTGTTCCACTGTTTTCATTCACTCCTGAATGGGCTGTACCTATATATTGCCTTGGTTTTGCTTTGTGTTCATTAGCGGTGCTGCAGTTGAACGTGGGGCTAGCCTAGGCCCTGATTAAATGTAGATTCACACCGAATCCAAATTCGGTTCGTATGGGCTAACGCAGTGGAGTAATGCCTATGCGCTCTCATGCGGCGGTCCGCAGGAGGGCCCCCGAATTCTAGGGGCCCTACCCATAGGTTCCTCGATCTAGCACCCTGACCAAAAAGGACTTTGTTGATAAATAAAACCATAATGTGTCTCTGAAATCGACTGTAGGGCATATATCATATTATAATGATTAAAGAGAAGGGGTTCCGACGGAGTCCCCCTCTCGGCCCCGGACCCTGACCAAATTTGTCAAAAAAACAAATAAATAAATAAAAATTGGAGATAAAAAGTCTGTGAGCATGCCATTTCCGGCCATATAGACGTGCCATAGTAATAAATTTTTTCTTATCTCAGCCCCAAAAGGGCAACAGCATATTATGTGTGTCTGAAATCGACTGTTGGACATATCATATTATATCCAGTGGCGGAATAAAGAGTGTAGGGGAGGGTAAAAGCTGCCGGTCCGGGGCCCACTAAATTTGTCAAAATGTTTTCTAACTGGAGATTCATAAATTTGTCTGTGAAGTGCCATCTAAAGGTGCCACATTTATAAATTTTCTTACATCATCCCCAACCATGGTGTGTCTGAGATGGTATAGACTCTCCAACTGTGAAAGTCCCTCCCTGGCCTCAATTTTCTAGATGCATATTATATCATTTATTCGTCGTTAAAAAATTTAGAATAACAATACACACCTAAAAATCCCACGATGGAATTGGTGACCGGGACCCAAAAAGTGCCCCCGGTTTCAGAAATACACAGGGCCCTTGGTCCCATCGTTACGCCACTGGGCTAACGAAACGAAAAAACAAAATCGAGTCAGTGGTAAAGAATAAAGGCGCGTACTAGACGCGCATCGAAAACGTTCTACGAATTTCTGTTCCGATTGGGTGTGAATGCAGCTTAAGCAAAGAGTATACTCTTTGGCTTAAGCTGGTCGAACTCTTCGTATTGATCTGTTACCCCAGCTGAACTGAAGAGGCCTGCCTGTAAAGCCGGAAAGGACCTGTATGCAAATACTTAATACACAAAGCATAACAACGTATAATTTAAACAACGAAAGTTTATATTTATCATCACAATGCCTTCTTCATATTTTGTAGAGGGTGGGTGGGGTGGGGGGTAGCACTCAAAGCTTTTGACTGCAATCTAATTTCGTAAGTCAAGAAATACCTGAAAATTGTTGAAACAAACTGTATAATTGACCCCCAGATTTTAAGAGCGTTCTGCATACAGTTCTATACAGTTGAAATAAAACATGGTGTTATGGTGCTATGAAACAAGTGTTAATAAAATATCTGGTAAAAGATCAAAAGAAATTCCTTTTTAGCTTAATTTTGACAATATTACATTGTATAAGACTGTAATAAATTCTAAATTCGGGTAATCGTTACATTAAATAAGTCATTGTAAATGTTTTAAGTTTTAGCTGGTCACTATTACAGTTTTGAAAGTAAGAATTTTCTGTGCAATTCCAGCTATTGCATTTTTGAGCCACTGGTTATTATCTATGACTTGATTTTTCAACATAGACTGTCATGCCCGGTTCTTGTTATTGCATTGTATACATCCTGTTAGTGATCAACACGAATATTATTATTATCCTCGTAAAGAAGGTTTGGTTTATTGATTGACTTATTCACAAAAACTTCTTTATTTTCAATAAACCAACCAAGGTGATAAATTTATAACGACTACTTTGAAGTTGTTGTGATGCAGTATAATGGTAAATTAAGTTTTGTAATCATGATGTGTTTATGACATATAATACTGCTCACGTATTAGACAGTTTTATGATATTTTCTAATAATAGCTTATAGTCTGACGATTGCCAATCGATTGGAAATGGAAGATGTATAATAAAAAAAACTTAGATTGGAAAACAAATTACAATGGTTTGCAATAATTTTATGAACCGTAAAATGTTGTCATTTGGATTAGCCTGTCATTTAATCAACAAAAAAAGTAATCGAATAATAGCTAGAGAAGCAATTTATATACGTTAAGGATGCGTGTTAATTACCAACAAATGTTGCCATGGTAAATATTTCCAAACTGGATTCACGTACCATTTAGTGAAAATTCATATAAACCAGCCTTTTTGATTCAAACTGGGTTGACTTCATTGGTGAAGACGGTAAATTCATATGAACCAGTCTTTGTTGTTTAAATTGGATTCACGCACCATTTGGTCAAGACGGTAAAGACATATGAACCCGTCTTTGTGGTTCAAACTGGATTGACGTACCATTTGGTAAAGACGGTAAAGACTTATGAACCAGTCTTTATGGTTCAAACTGCCATTTAGTGAAGACCGTAAAGTCTGGATTCACATACCATTTAGTGAAGACCGCAAATTCATATGAACCCGTTTGTGTTGTTCATTAAGCATAATTCGATGAAAACTTCCATCTCTAAACTTGAAAATATAATCGCGTGCAGAAGACAACATGCAATTGTGGATGATTAGTGTTTCTCTGTCTTTCTATTTACTAAAGGTAAGTGTAGTTGTGTACCTACAAAGTTAACTTTTTTTTTAAACAAACCTTGATGGATAACAGTAATCATTTTTAAATATTTGTTATAATTATTAATGCACAAAAATAGTAAATCAATTTGTTCAATATTCAAGCTTTTTACTGGTAATCCAACCAACATCACAAACAAAACAAGGTTTTCTTTAAATCTACGTTTGCCTTTCTGTTTTGTACATAAGAGAAAAACAATTAGGAATTGTTGAAATTAAAAAAAATGTATATGTATATGTAGGCCTATATGGTATAGGTGTGTATGTATGTGCGTGTGTATATATACAGTATATGCATGTGCATGGTGTAAGTACAATTTTTGAATGTGATGTATATTAACATATTCGATAAATTACATTTTGGGATCTAAAAGAAAAAGAATATATTAATGTATTTTTTAGAGATTAACAAGAGTTTAAAAGATGCGTTCAAAAAATTACATTCAGCCATTGTGGACTGACCCTTTTAAAGTGCAATTGAGTTTTAAGTTTTCTTAAAATCTTGATTGCCTCGCTTTTTATTGGTTCCGTACCGTCTCGTGCGTTCATCGTCGCGCTGCCATCGCGTCGCCGTCGCGCGCAGTAAGTACCCGGCTTTAAAATCTTGATTGCATGTCTTTTTTATTAGCCTGTGTTCGTATTGTATTAAGAATTTTATGTTAATTTTATTGAGATGCTATGCATAAATTTTTTTTGTATAATTACTCTCTCTGAGATTTAATATTTATGTATGATATAACTTCTGTGTGCTTTGTTATTGTATTTTAATTTCGAGGGCCCAATGGTCAGCTTTGCTGGACGGGCTACCCACTGGAAACATAGTTTAATTTTTTTTAAATAATAATAATAAACATTTAATGTACAGTAAGATATATACAGCATTTTACTTTAGAGTCTCAAATTGCTCGAAGTGTGAGCTAGCTCGTACAGTAACTTTATTCGCCCCTAAGAGTGTCTCTCTTTCCCTCTCTTTCTGTCTTTCTGTCTTATCAACCCTGTAAACCGATTCCAGCTGATTTGTCCACAACAGGGACCGTATCAGGGCCGTCGGAACCGCACCGGCTTGGGCCAGACTACTTTTTCTTATAGTTATATTACTTTTTCAAATAAATATATACTGATATCTATAAATTATATGAATTTATTAATAATGTTCGCATCATAATGTCTTTTTAATACTATATTTAACGAAATCCACCAGGCGTTTGTTTTGTATTGCCTATGTACATTTCAACTTTGTTTTTGACAATCCTTAATTTTCGTCATTATGATTGATTTTGAAAATATTTAGATGTATAATTACAATTAAATATTTATAAAATGTTTGGCAGTTACAGTCGATCAAACTGTCATCACTCACACCGACACTAATACGAATCAAGCCAACGTGATTACTTGCCATCAAATTTTGGCCTATAAAGTAAGGACATTCATTTTTTTAAAAGTATTTATGTACTATTTCCCGACAGAGGAACCACTTTTCAACCATGGTGGAGCAGAGGCGGGTATGATATCTAGTCTACTTATAAATTTAAATCTTGAATATTAGGCCTATATCTGGCCCTGCATGGGGTTGGAATAGGAGTAGCTGCTTGCAGGTTGCCCTCTGATATTTCTATTTTTTTTTAACAATTGCTCACATCAGGCCAGCCCACCATAGTGGGACTGCGGTACTTATAAATTAAATATCCCAACTACCTCTAAATATTGTGTTTGTCCCTTGTGGGGGAAGGGAGTGGCTCTTATCTGGTATTTCCGCGCATCTGGCGGTGCCATATTTCCAAAATTTGCTAACTTCTCTTGCAGGATTGAGAGGAGAGGTTGTACATGTTTGCCAGCTGTTATTCCTGGGCATGTAAGTGAGGTGCCATATTTCCAAAATGTTCTCACCTCTGCCTCGTTCATGGTGGGGCTGAGGTGGGTATAGACTTTCTCCATGCTAATTCTAAAATCTTGTGGCTACCCTTTAATAAGAAAAGAAACAGCTCTACATGTTGCCAAATGATATTTTCTTCCATCCAGATGTGTTAAAAAACTGTTCACCAACCATGGAGGGGCAGAGGTGGATATGCACTCAGACCCCACTAACTTTAAATCATGCATGTGTGGATAGGAGTAGCAGGTACCTGCAGTTTAACAGTCAAACACCCCCCTCCCCAACACCACTTATTATAATGGCCGGACCACATGAAAAATGCTTCCGACGGCTATGACATATTGACGAGTACACTGGGGTAGACACGTACTCTCGAAATATGTACTGGGTTTTTTTATAGTGCATTATGAGTCAGTTTGTACACTGGGCCTACGTTTATAGTCCTTATCCGAGAAGACTTGCTCCACCACCGGAACCATGATGGGCAGTCCGAGCGTGCCGCTCGAACCAGTTTCGATATTAGGCCTGGCTGTTGGTTGGATCGCACCTGCTCGGTCATTCGACTCGCCTACCAGTATTCAACATTAGATAATTATGTTCTGTCCATTAAAAATACTTCGAAGAAATAAGGCAATTTTCTATACTCAGTGTCGCTTTTTATAAAATTTTATAAATATATAAAAATAGCAAAATATATTTAAAATTGTTATAAAGACAACAAGGGTAACCTTGAACAATAAACTATTTGAATAAAGGTGATGGTCACGCCACGAAAGAGAAAAAAATACTTAGTGTCGTTTAATATTTCATACAAAAATTCCTTTAGAGTTTGGAAAATATGCTAAAAATGATGAATTGTATTTATAGAACCACTATCCGACGGGGGTGGGGGGAAGTCCCCGACAAGAGCAAAGTGGACGTGGTCGGGCGTCGCTCAAAATGTTCAAAAGTAGTCCAAGTGGCAAAAGCCCCCTAAAATATGACAATTCGGGGGTTTCAAAGACTTATTTATCGATTTATAGATATATAGATTGTTTAGAAAATACATCAATTGAACCCAGCATGCTGGGATTTAAAAGCAAGCATCTTAACCACGAAGCTATTCAACAATTTATTCGATTTATTTTTATTTGTACAATAAACAGTATCAGTTATAGTTGCTGTCAACTGTCTTTCGAAGTTCAATCGCCGAACTTTAATTTCCGGTATGCCTATGCGTCTAATCACGAATCGAAATTTAATCAATATCATTCTAAAAAGTAAGTGTCTGGATATTTATTACTCGTTTCAAATGTCATTAATGTCACTCTTATCGTAATAACCTAACAATAATGCGTAAGAAGTGAGAGTAGGCTTCAACCCGCCACCTCAGCATCCATTTCTCTTCTTTTTTTTTCTAGGATTTCCTCTGAAATTCTCTTATGCCTTAATCAAAGCAATACAGTCCTAAGATTTAAATTTGTTCATATCATTTGAAAGTAATATTATTTGATAACCAAATTAATATTTATTGTTGGTAAATTGTATTTATTGAAGAAACAAAAATAATCATTAAAATTCAAACTCAGTACACGTATTATTATTTATTATTATTATTATTATTATTATTATTATTATTATTATTATTATTATTATTATTATTATTATTATTATTATTATTATATTACTAGTGCTATACTAATGTTTCTTACTAAATTACTTCCCGTAATAAGTTGTAAGTCATTGACAAAAGGTTACTTACTTTGTAAAAAGAAAGATTAGTAGAGTATTAACTACCGGCGGTTTAAAAGGTTTGGTGAACGTGGGCATCTGAGGTCCAGGGGCCCTACCCTATAAAAAAAAATGAAATAATAAAACATGCATATGACTATAGATAATAAATAGACGTATATAGAATCATACAAGTTAAGTATATAAGCAAACAGTCTTTTATTGCAAACTCCACCGTATTTCAAAGATAATGCATAGCATATGGTGTGTTTTATTTAATGTCATACTTTATATTTCACAATATCCGTGGTGTGTATTCATCATTGTTATTCATATTCTATTTTATAGTAATTTATTCTTATTCAGGTTATTTATTCATAGGGTAATTAAGCGTCTTAATTCATTTAGTTATGGCATTGATAAGGAATTTTTAACAATTTAGGATAGTATGATGTGAGTATTGGTCCCACCAAGGATAATTCTTGTGAATCACACCCTTGATAACCCTTGACTTGTTTCCAGTGGGGTCCTTCTACCGGTGAAGTGGGCAGTACACCGGGAAACAATTCCATATTCTTTTCCGAAGGGTGTAGGCCTCTTCGTTCTTTACACTATGAGTCATAATGCACACGGTGTAATGTCAACATAAGACCGGAATTTATGTACAACTGTATTGTGGGTATTTATTCATCAACAGTAGAAGGCGACAAACATCATTTCTATCTTGTCATGAGCATCGTTATTGTTGTTAACATATACATCACATCCCCCTTTTTTACATAGTTACCAACCGTCTCGCATCGTGCGGGATGGTCCAGCATTTCAAAGTGATTTTGGATGAAACACGCAATTTGCGTGATCATAAATTTGTCTAGTCATAAAAAAGTCTATGCCTGATAACGAACTATCACGAATTCAGTGGAAAATGTATTTAAAGTTAGAAGAAATTTGTTTTATTAACGATATAAAAACGGTCATGCAGTAACTTGAGCCAAGAGAGCTTTCTTTATCTCATTTCGAGAATCAATTCACCAACAACCGAATATGTGTTTGCAGGACCATATTGTACAGCGGTAAGATCTCGCCTGTATATGTTATCCTGCCTAAAGATGTTTTAAATAAATAAAAATAAATAAAATAAAATAAAACAACATTTCTCATTCTCTAGTAAAAAAACAACCCAGTCATCAACCACGTACTTAGTAGGATCTAGGAGGCGCGTGCGGGCTTGCGCGTCCATTGTCACAACCAACTGTTTGACTGAAACTCGGACCCCACCGGGGCTCCAACCCTGGACCCCGGAGGCCCCTACCCCACAGCCAATTGGTGTAATCATGCATTTTAAATCTCTCAGGTATCTCTATGTTTTAATGATTCTGATTTTACTTTTATCGTACTGTTAAAATCGTTAATTATGATCTTGATATTCATAATAATTTAAAAAACGTACCGTCTGACTGCAACATCGAAAGTTAATGATGTTTGCGTGCAAGAACTTCTTTATGCTGATGATTCTGCCTTTGTGGCACACTCCGAAGCCGAATTTCAACAGCTTGTTGAGCGCTTCGCAAGTGCAGCTGTAGATTTCGGTCTTACCATCAACACGACAAAGACAGAAGTAATGTACCAACCGCCTCCTGGTTCCCCGTACCTCGAACCACAGATCCTTCTTAATGGTGCCCTGCTCCCAACTATGAAGAGTTTTACTTACCTTGGCAGTATGGTGACGTTTGATACCAACTTGGATGTTGAGATTGGGCGACGGACTCAAGCGGCATGTGCATCCTTCAGGAGACTGCAAGACCGATTGTGGAACAGACGGGGTATAAAGCTGGCAACCAAGATTGCGGTGTATCGTGCAGTTGTCCTACCAGCACTACTATATTCGTCCGAGACGTACACACTCTATAGACGACATATAAAGAGGCTCATGAAAACTCAGCAAAGACACCTACGCTATATCATGGGCATACGCTGGCAAGATCGGGTCACCAATGAAGAAGTACTGCAAAGAGCTGCAATGGTCAGCATTGAATCGACCATCATGCGATCACAATTACGATAGACAGGTCATGTCATACGGATGAACAGCGGGCGTCTCCCCCGTCAGATCCTTTATGGAGAACTGAAAGAAGGTGGCAGATCTGTTGGCCGACCATTTCTCCGCTATAAAGACTCATTGAAGAGGCAACTGAAATCGGATGAGATTCTACCAGGGAGCCTTGAGAAAGTTGCTACCAATAGAATGGAATGGAGAAGGCTCATCAATACAGCATCTGATGTAGCTGAAGCAAAACGCTGTGATGCTGCCAAAAAGAATAGGGATGCCAGACACGCTGCTGCAAGATGCCCACGTGTAATTGATGACAATTCACCAACTTGCAATATCTGTGGCTTTCGGAGCGTCAGCGAATTTGGACTGCGTAGCCATGCAAGGAAACACAGGCAAAAACAATTTTAATGAAGGAAAAAAAAATAAATATAGAAATAAAAAATAAATTTAAATAAATGAATACATAAATGAATAAATAAATAAATAAATAATTAAATAAATTAATTAATAAATTATTAAATAAATAAATAAATATAGATAAATATAAATAAATAAATAAATAAATGATGGGTCGGATCAGTCATCATCGAAAACGATGGACAGCCAATGATGATGATGATGACTTAAATCAACATGATTTACGCTCTGTTAACTGCCACGTTGAGCTTAGTTGTTCCTTTCGAAATTCTTCCACTAACTGATTCATATCTAGCCTGAGAGGTGTTTGAGTAGTGATATTAGAATTATTAGGTTGTGGTACATTATGATCAGACATATCATATTCAGGCATATTTCCGTCAGACTCATCTCCGGTCTGTTATATTGGAAGGTTCTCTTTAGTAACATACATGAGGCACTTTAAATGTCTTTCCATGATCATTCTCAGGATAATACAATTATTGGATGGTTTAATGTAGCCTTAATGCTACATACTCCCATTCCGTTTTGCATTTCTAAATCGAACAGTTTGACCAGTGGTTAGCTGTTTGATTAAGTATCATGCCTTTTGGTCATAGTATGTTTTTTGTTTTTGCTGTTAGTGTTGTACTAGTAGTTAGTTTTTCTTGGGGTACAATGTGTGGTTTTGCGATGTGATGTACCAACTGATTTTCCGAAAGAACACAAATAAAGAATATTGAATCTTCTTAGCTAGCTGTCGCCAACTTGGATCTTAAAAGTCTACTGCTTGTAATTCAGGCTGTGCGTATCCATCTCTGTTATCGATGGGGTGTTTCGAAATACTACGAGTGAATTATATATAATTTAAAAGTGTTAACGGCTATCTTGATTATTATATTTTACTAATTCTTTCCCGCCGCACTTATTGCCCTTTCGAGGTGCATCATCACTGTGTACTATAATGTAGCTGACGGTTATTTCAATATGTTCAACCATGAATCCTCTGTGGTGTAATGGTTAAGGTGCTCGCCTTGACAGCGAGAGGTCGCAGGTTCGAATCTCATCTGAGTGATTTTATTACACAATTTAATTACATACACTATGTATCATCATGTTCTTTTATTAGAACACTGGATTTACCTTTCTTTGATTATATATATTTCTTTGATATTTATAGCATTTTTTTTTTTTTTTTTTTTTTTTTTTTTTTTTTTTTTTTTTTTTTTTTTTTTTTTTTTTTTTTTTTTTGTATATAACAATTAATGGTTTTTGTTTGTCTGTGTTTCAGGCTGGACTTTGTTTACCCGCAGATGAAGGTAAGAACTGGAGAGAAAAAAGCAATGAACTAATATGATGCCATAATTTTTATTCCACATGTGTATCTTAACAAGATATACTAAATCAGTGTCAAATGTTTCTTCATTGATCAAATATTTCGATACAAAAATATTAATGTACTGTGTGTAGCAAAAGAATCGAACCTTTGCATTTTTGGAAATGGTAATATTAATATTTAAGTAAATGGAAAATACTCAGAAGCAGACACCGCACACACTATAAAGATCATATATTCCATTATTGCTCCAACATAAATTTATACATTGTTTATGTACTATGTGTACTTATTGTTAAATCTGATTAATTTTTAATCACAGGTTCTGGCGATTGGAATGACACTACCAATATATTCTTGGATCCAGAATCTGACCTGGTATTGACGTCACCAAATTATCCACAAGATTACAATCCGTCAATGAAAAAAGTTTGGAGAGTCACGACTGCCAGCAATTACAGGATCGCTCTAACTTTCTCTACTATACAACTAGAGCCAATATTTGACTCTCTGTTAGTGATTAGTGATGGAGTAACTGTAAATTCTAGTTATATAAATACGTGGAACACAACATTATCTTGCTTTGAACTTGAGCTCATGATGATTACAGATGATACCGTAGAATACCAAGGTTTTCATGCTACTTTATCAACTCAGTATGGTCAGTATACAATATATATTTCGTTTACTGTAAAATAAAAATGGTTAGCAGGTGGTTCGACCTTCTTTTTCTTCTTCCTCTTCTTTCCCTTCCCGGTTCTTAATCTTTAGACGATAGTAAGTTAGGTGTTATTTGTTTTCGAGTTGAATTTCTAGAATATGTAATTGGCATTGTCTAACACAATTAAAGACATTCATAATTATCTGTATTGCCCACCAGTTGCAAACTTAAACCTTTCCCAGTAGGACCACCTTAAATTCTCTCACTGGAATTTAATAAATACAATCTCAAAGCCTATTGTACTTCTGATTTTGCGCCCTCCGTGGTCGTTTCGCGTTTAGGCCATGTCCCAACTATGCAAGTCAGGGCTTTATTCACAGTTTTGTAATTAAATCATAAATACTGTGCTATAAATTGATTAATCGTTAGCATACGTTGCGTATATAATTGTATATTTGAACTTAATTCACTAATAGCATTATTTTAATCATTTTTAAATATAGTACATACAGCGTCTAATGATTCGGCCAATTCGCAGATGACGAATACAAGCTCAACCTTTACAATGACAAGGGCAAGTAACATTTATTCATTATCGTAATTCATAGTTTTTATACCGAAACGGTCTCAAAGCGCTGGAGGCGTAGACTAGCTCTTACAGTGATTTGCTTCTCCCCTAAGGGTCTGTTCGTGTATGTGAGCTACCTGGTAAACCGGTACCAGCTACTTTCGTCTGTCCAAAAGAGAAGATGAATGAACCAGTACTCTGTGTAATCCCCTACTCGTCTCGAAATATGTACTGGGTTCTTTGAAGTGCATATAGGCCAAATTGTGTACACTGGATCTACGGCTTATTATCATCCGAAAAGATAAGTCTGATAAACTAGAATATTTTATACAATTTGTATTTCACAAAGCTAACTTTAAATTATATAAAATAGTTATAATATATATATACACCTGTCTCTTATACACATCTAGATGTGTATAAGAGACAGATATATAAGTTAAATTTGCAGCATAGCCAAATGAATACGTGAATAAAATACAAAGACAGTCTTAATTTGCCACAATTTATTTAAATTAAGAATGCTTGAGCTACCTGGTAAACCGGTACCAGCTCACAGGATAACTCCCTACTCGTCTAGAAAAACTTATACCACCACCAGAACCATTTGGCGAACGTACCGTTCGAACCACGCCGATATTATGGCTGTACTTTCAACGCTCCTGTCATCCAACTCTCTCTCTCTCACACACATACACATACACACACCCACACACACACACACATATATATATATGTATATATATATATATATATATATATATATATATACATATATACCACCCTCGTTGAAATAAATAAATAAAATAAATAATATATATATATTATACATATATATATCTTTCGGTTGTAGACTTTTCTAGACGAGTAGGGGTATTCTAT